TGATACACCATTATTGTATTGTGCGGTTATTGTATAATGTATTGTATTTTTGCACGACCAGAACGACAACTCTGTAAATAACGTTAAATACAAAAATCAAATTTATTTTACAGAGCTATTGTTTTTACAAAAGGTTCTTTGTAACACGTTTACGATTACACAATACTTCGTTTATTTTCATAATTATTGTAATGATATATAATGCATTCTGTAGGTTAAATTTGTTAAATGGGAGAATTGCTTTGTATGAAATCTCCCAATGGTACAAACTACAAAAATACAATAGACATTTTAAGTTATCTATTTAAAAAAAAATGATAAGTTGAACCCATTTGATCTTTTTTAATTGATAAATAAAAAAATAGTTAATTTTTGTACATGTTGCGGTGCTTTAATATAAAACAGTTCGAATACTTAACTTCTCTTCTTTTAAATATTTGGTAAAATGTATTCAAATATATGATCAGCTTTAGGATATAAATGCCTGGACGGAAAAATAGATTCTAGATTTCTTTTTTACATTATTCATATTTAATTCCATTAATAATTCTTCGCTTTAGTTATAACATGTATAAGTAATATGTTTTATCGCTGGGGGCTAAATATTTGTCCGAAACGTAACGCTGGATGTCACACTCGGCGGCAGCGGAGGAAGGAGGGGGAAATTAGAGATAAAAATAGAGAAAATAGATTAGGGATGAGAAATAAGGGACAATATTTTATAGATAAAAGTAGAGATAATAGATTAGAGATAAGATATTATAGAAAAGAGATTAGAGATAAAAATAGAGATAATGGATTAAAGGTAAGAGATAAGGGATAAAAATCTAAGGGTTTTAAGAAAGGAGGGGAGAAATGTTGATTAATGATCAAAATCCAAATCTCTATTTTCAAATAAAAGGGGAACTTCGAAAATCTTAGAAAAGTAAAACCAACTCCAACTCCATCTTCAACTCCATTCCCATCCCCATCCCTTTACATCAGCTTGCGTACGAGTCCGCAACCACGGGAGACATTTTATCTTTAATCTCTTATCTCGTATCTCTCTTATCTTATCAGTAAATCATCAGAAATTTTCGTTATGATAAAAACTGTCGATTTTTCAGGTTGTGTGCCAAAGCAAAGACATAAAATGTCAAAAATAGATTAGAGATATGAGATTAGAGATAAGAAAAGTACCAAAAAGTTCCAGGGTCCTATACTTGAATATAAAGACATATACATGTGTCTATGTATCCGCTTGTAGTGTGGATACTCGATAATTTTTATCTTTTTTCGGAACTCTAATATATTTGTTTACATATTCTTTTTTTACTCATATTTTGTCTTTGAATTTTAACATACCTATACATTACAATTATGTATGCTTAAAAAGATGTATTTGTACATGTAACAAAAGGTTTTTGTATTGATAAGTATTTGTAGGCAGTAGGCATTCGTATTTAAGGACAGCATTCCAATTTGTTTTTTAGTTGCAAGTACTAATTATCTCTTATTAATTTAAATAATAGTAAAAAAAATGAAATATTTTATAATTATAATAATATATTGATGTTGAACAATAAAATTGTTACAACATAATTTACTACAAGTCGTATCAGGTGATTTAGTGATATTGTGAACGGAGTGAAATCTTTTATAGGAGGAGACAACAGCGTTAGAGAGATCATGATGAAGTGTGTGGTTGTAGATATAGAATGGGGCTTTGAAAATTTTGACGGAGACATTTTAATTGAGAAGTTTGCATATGATTTATTTTTGAAGACTTGGCTGAGTCCCATTGCTGGACCCTATAATTCCACATGGGGTTGAGTAGTGTTTTATTTAAAATAATTTTATTATTTAAGCTGAGACGTGATATGAAGAGAAATCCGATTTAACGGAATCTATTGTTTGGAGTAGTTCATTTGTTTTGGATGTGGGTTGCCTAGGTTAGTAGGCGATCTATGTGTAAACCAAGATAAGATAAGCAACAATATGGAAGGGAATATTGTTGTGAGTGATAATGGGACATTCTTTGCGCCTGAGCGTAAACGTATGGTGATTACCAATTTATCTTCTTAGCATTTGTACTAAACGACAACATCAGTGTAGCCACATAATGAAAACAATATTTCAAGTACACAATTTCATATGTAGAATAATGATATTTTAATCTATCAGACTGGGTAACACCGATTTTTCGGTAACATGGTTTTATAGTACTTGGTTACCGTTTCACGGCGTATAATACGTCACTCGGCGCAAATGATAATTAAATTATGGTGATTTTTACAAAAACTGGCGGTGGACCTTGAACGCATTCGATATCTTATCGCCGACGACCTCTCTATCGGCATCCAGCCAGACAGCCACCATGTTTTCCATGTTATGAACTTAAAAACTAGTATAGAACTTATTCATACTAGAAAAATGTCATAGTAGAATATTTGAGGACATCTTAAGATCTGGATGGAGGATTAATAAATAATTTTGTCATCTACGAAGTCAGCCGTGATAGTGAGGAGGGTGGTGTTTTTTTTCAGATGTCAATAGGTTGACAGTAATGGCGTGGCTACAGCTCCTTGAAGAACGCCAGCTTTAATTGAGAAAATCTCAGATAGTTCTAGGCTTGAATGAGCTGTAAAGTATCTCTCTTCTAGATAATATTTAAGTATGAGATATAAGTATGAAGGGAAAAAAGGCCCACATTATCAGTAGTTAAAACTTACTTAAAATGTGTTGAGGTATTTTATTCACGCAAACATGACTGAATCCTTATTGATTTAAAATGTATGATCCATAACAGATAATTTTCGTATAAATTATATTTTAAGTTATTTAAGTTTAAGTAAAAATTAGTGATAAAATAAATATTATTTTATTCAAAATAGAACTACAAACAAACAGGTACACGATAAATTCATAAAATACCAACTGTAATATAAAACGATACCTTAAAACCAACAATGGTAAATAACAACACTTTACAAATAATTGTAAAAAAATGCTATAAAAGATGATAGCATCAAATATTTTAATGAAAATTCAAATTATTAATAATCATGTTGCTTAAATAGTGTTAATTAATCATTGATTGCACTAGATGTACGTACAAAATAATTGTTCTATCATGCGATAATGTAATTTTAGTTTTTATCAATACTTAATCAAAAAATTTGTAAAAGGGGCGATACTAGATGTTTTGATACTATAAAATAAGCAATTAAAAACAGTTATTAAAGTGTCAGTTAGAAAGTAAATTAAATGTTTCCTGTATGAAGATTTAACATTGAGTAAAAAATTGTAATAATAACATTATCTTTCTTTGTTAACTTAAATTACATTTGTTTTTATTTGGTTTCATATAAAATGTGTATCAAATGATGCAAAAAAGAAAAAAAATTAAGTTTGTATTATATAGTGATAACTAAATAAAACAATATTGTATCTATCCCTATCTTTGCTAGATAGGTATAGTAAAACAATTAAATTCATTTTATTTTGAAATTCAAACCATGGTGATTCGTTTAATTTTATATTAAAATATTTAAAATTTTTTTTATGCTATTTGACTTGTACATTTTTAAAACAACATGTTTTTTAAAGACCTCAATTTTTTTTTTTAGAAATGGATACTTTTCCGAATTTTATAAATTATTGGTTTTGATTATTCCATGATAACGCTATAATTTCAAAATTCACTATTATTTTACTGTCCATCAATAAAATTACTATTTATCTACAGGTCTGGCAAGGATCTACACTTACAAAGATATATTGTGTAATATTACGTTAAATTATATGAATGTATACTATTATTACACAATAATAGTATTACAATGTATATTACTATTACATTAGATAATACATTTACCAAATATACCATATTATTTACTTAACGGGGTATATTAGGTAAATCAGATTTACCCAATTGACATTTAAAATTTGCATCCATAAAATATCCCATAGTACAATTTGATCGTTTTAATATTATGAATTTATTTATTATTTTTAATTTGCAAACACCATTAACCATTTTTTAAACTACTCGTGATATTGATGTAAGGTAAACTTAAAATAAGTTGTCACAGTCATTGAATTCTATTGTGAAATTTTACATACATATTTTTTTTTATTTTCGAAAAAATTGTTCAAACATTTATATTTGTTTTTGACATCAAGAAATATACTATAACTTATATTTCTCTTAAAAAAATCCAACAACGTATGTATGCGAATCTGTAGACTGTATATAATGTATACGTATTTATTCCGATTCGACTATACTTCGGCCCAGTAGCCTGTATTATTTTAATTTTACAATAATCGCTCTCCTAGTTAAGCGAACTAGTGTTCTAAATAATAAGTGCGCCTTATGTGAAGTCTGAAATGAAATCTTTAATTATTTTTAACTAAAATTGAAATTATGTTTAATTAATTTACTGTCACTCATTCATCTATTTGATACGTGTTTAAGGATGGTGTTCGAATTACATGTATACGGTTTCCAAATAATCTAAATAACGTCGACGTGATTATTAGATAACAAAATTATCCATTAATTCCCCCTCTACGCCCCCACGACCGGCCGTTCCATGTTGTATATATTGCCAAATATTGTTATTTTTGATGACAGTCCGCAAATCACGAGGGACCTTACAGTTTGTAAATTTTAAACCGAGCGAGAGATCGATACGATGGAGCGGTGGCGGATGCGGCGGAAGCAGAAAATAACCACCGGCCGCCGTTTCCAGAGAGCACCGATGAAAATTCACATCCTTCTCGGGAAAGGTCGACCGGACGACGGGGGGAGGAGAGTGAAAACCGGGGGGAGACGGGGGATATTTTCGGAACGTCTACAACGCGGTAACGCCTAAACGTGAAAACTCGGCCGACCAATAGCTTACGGTAACCGGGTCGACCGTTGCCGACATGAGCCGAGCCGACGGAATGTTAGCGCAAGCCGTCAACAGCGCCGTCGCCGCCGCCGCGCCGCCGGCTAGTGGCTCCTACCGGTTAATAGTGGTATATACAGCTGTTTTATGTGTCGGTCTGTGTACGCGTATGTCCCAGTGTTTGCGTATGTACGCCGTGTGCGCGTTTATCGTATTATTGTTTAGGTGACTCGGGCGTCTAGTGTGTATCCGTTGGTACCGAACCCAGAGGTAAAAACTATGAACGGGTCGATCGGTTAGTGTCGAACGCGGTTGACAAGTGATTCGCGTTTATCGTATTCGCCGTTAAGACCGATGACGACGGTTTTGCCGGAAAAATGAAAGCTCTGCGAAGTAAGAAGACTACCAGAGTGGCCGGATCTTCTGATACGAATGGAGCATCCAGTGAACTAGACGTTATGACGGCCGATGACGAGGTGGTCGAAATCAAATCATCCGACTCCGAGAAAGAATACTTAATAAGCCAACGCAAATCCGGTAAGAAACGCAAGAAACGTCATCACCATCGTAGTAATCGTAACGGTAAGGATCATAACCGAGTGAGTCCTATGACGGTGTGGGCTAAAACCGACAATATGAATATCACCGACGTGGTCTGCGCGGATCACGACATCAGTTTAAGGATAACGAGAGTCAACGGTGATATTTGGAAAGCCGGGCCGGTTTCGGAAGGTTTGACAGGCGGTGTCACTCCGGCGATAGCGGCGGCTCCGGTACAGAAGAAAATCCAAGGAAAACCCGACTCTCCTATGGTCGAAATCGCTGGCGACGTCGACTGCCCCGTATCCGGCGACAAAGACCAGTTGTTTGATGTCAACGACAACTCTGTCGAGTTATTGGAAACCGCGTTCGTCATAGACGACGATGAAGAAAACGAAAACGAAGAAAGGAGAGCCTACGTCGATAGGACCGTACAGTTTCTGGACTCATCTGAGTGCGTTGTAAAATCTGAAGAATCCTTAATCGATTCGAACATCATCAAGTTGCCCGAAGGCACCACAATCCACGAGGTGAAGGATGAAGGATTCGTCAGCACGCCGGTCAGTCCGGGTCAGCCGCCTCCTATGACTCCGATATGCACGTTTGGCGAGTTGACAATTACACCGGAGCCACAACAAAAGGAACCGCTTAATTTAGAAACCTCGGGCAAACGGTCTTCGCTGGAGCCTAGACTAGAAGGCCAACCCGCCAAAAAGGAACGTACGGTACCCCCTTCAGTTACTCCACTTCCTATAAGTGAGTACAACGATTTTGATTCGTTAACTGATCTCAAGTCACTATTTTCCTACTCGGGTATTACCATGACTGATCCAATTAAAATACCTTCGGGTAGGTTAAACGCTCTTATGGTTAACCCGATAAACGAAATATTCAGTCTTTTGCGTGTGCCTCCTACGTCTTCAAAAGACGGAGAAATGTTGGAAGTGCCGATTGCTAGTTTAGAAGCGATGCTTAAAGATTATGTTTTTTTGAAAAATGATCAAAAAACTGAAGATAATGAGCAATTTATTAACCATATGTTAAAGTATTCGCCTAAGGACGTAGCGGAATCGATTGCGGAACAGATGATGTTGCCGTTATCTAACTATGCACCCGATCAACAGGCATTCAGTTACAATCAGCAAATTAATTCTTGGCGAGATCCTTCTTACCCCGTTGGTCCTCCTAAGCCGGTGCCACCTCCATACCCTACGACCGATTGTAATAAGCCGGGAGAATGCTGTAAACAACCTTTTCCGACTATATCGCCTTCGCCAATGAAACGGCCGACCAGACAGCGACAGAAGTCTTGTTGCAACAAGTCGTCTGCTCCTTATGGTACCTTTTGGCCCAAACCCGGTTACGATTCGTTTGCAATCCCGCCAATTGTTCACGACACTCCGAAGACACCTCATAACGCATATCCGATCAACAACAATATTCTAAACTATAAACAATATCCCGCCAACCACGCTCTCGCATACAACGCATCCGATACGCTAGCATCGACGTATAACCCGCTGCTTCCACCATCACATTTATCACAACAACAGGCCATATCATATACGCCACCACCGGGTGAACACATTCTCCGAGAAACTAGTTTAAACTACCACCAACCCTCTATTGATAATAGTAGTACCGGCAATAGCAGTTGTGATAGCAGCGGTGATCGCCAGTCTCCTGCTACTTCTAATACTGGATCTGAACACCATCAGTCCTCCTACAACACGCCTTCCAGAAGCAGCCAAGGCAGCTGTCCTTCACCACAACTGCCAATCATCAGAGTCAGAACTCCATATCACAGTCGTGAAATTCCACCTCCTACAAACTTAATAAACGTAAGAGTGACTTCTCGTGTATGGAACCCGTTCAATAGCAGGTAAATATTATAATTTATTATTATAAACAATCATAAAACGCGCGTTTTGCAAATACTAATTCGCCATAAAGGTCAACAAATAAAAACCGTCTTATAGAATATTACAATTGCTTGGTGTGGATGAAAAAAGAGTTAAGAAAAAAAAACAAAATTTTCAATGAGACGTAGTACAAATTAGAATTAATTTATAACATAAGAAACAGGCAATTAAAATTGTAAACTATTGTACAGTCTTGTACAAAAACTTGAAAAAAAAATCACTTACAATATTATTTTATCATCTATAAATCATGAAATAGGTGAAATATAGCAAAGTGCAGACTAAGATAACAACACCTGTTATTGATAACAAAGTTAGATCTTTTCCATTTTCGATAGAATTTATTTCGGCCTTTTATATATTATTCCAATTAACAAAAATCATGGCTTAACCCCTTTTTCCCACGCGCCCGTTATATATCGTTAATATATAACGCTTGAGCTTTACTTAGAACAGGTTCACTGGATTACATCTACTTATCTACTTATCACTCCCAAGTGTGTATGTATAAATTATTTAGAACCACTTGGACAAACGTACTCAATAGACAATTTTGTGTTTTTTTAAATACATATAATAGTATATATTCAGTTAATAATATGTATAGCAGATGTGTTGTGCCCGCTTTTTAAAGCAAGCATTAAGTATTGTTCAGATTATTTAATGATCTGATCACTATTTAATATAGGTACTATTGTTATACTACTTTAAGATATCAATATTAAAGTGCGCTGTAGTAAATGTTTTGTCACTGTTTAGCATAACCACTCTCCGGAATAATCTTTTTTTTTGTCAATATTAAAATATTTGATAACGGCATTTGAACTAAAGTTTCTTCGGTGTAGGTTTTTGTTTAAATTATCTATGTGTAATCAACTCTATCAAAGCAGGTTACTAAGATTCACTTGCGCAAGAGAGAAAACATTTACTTATAGTTAATAGCGGCGTCATAATTGTAGATGACAAATATTTTATTTTATTTTTCGAGAGTGGGTCATATTATTGAGGTCTAGTTCAGTATAATTAATGATAAAACAAAATATCTAGAGCAAATAAAAATATTTTTATTTGAGTAAAGACCTTATATTATACTGGTCATGATTTCAAAATTAGAAAACTTACGTGAGGAAAAAATATACCTAATAGTACCAGTTGCAGAACTCTAAAATAATGTGTTTACGCTTTTAGGCATAAGATCCTAGTGACTTGAGTTTCTGATATCTAAGGATGATATTTTCTTTAACAAAGAATTCCATGTGATTAATTCAAAATATTATAAGGCAGAGTCAAACCAATTTGTACTAATTTTTTGTTTTAATAAAAAAATACATCAAATAATATATTGCAATATGATAATATAATGATTGAGTTCAATATCTCAATTCCTAACTTAACTTGGGTGTGTGATAGTAGTTTATCTGTAGGAATATTCTAAAGGCGATCTGATCAACAGTTCATGACACGTACAGCGTTAAACAATATTATAATTTAGTCCAAGTAATAATACAACGACTACTGTTGTCTATTACACCTTGCAAACGTAATTTAACGTATGTTAACTATGTCGATGAAAAGAAATATTTTCAATATTTATCCTTTTTTATTTTATTTGTAGTGGTGTCCACCCCAATATCCACTGCTCGATCAACCCAGTAGGGGAATTATTTCCTAGCATCTTCCTCCGTCTTATTGTGCCATTGAATAGCAAACACATTATTTTCGATTCGATTACAATAGTTACCACAACTCAACTCGAAAATGTTTTATCACACCTATACCGTTGCCAAAGATGATTTAAAGCTTCTTATTTGAGTTATTTCACCTGTAAAATACTTAAGAAAAAATGATATCCAATTATCCGAATGGTTGAAGTAGGGTCTGGTTTGATCTGCAGATTTCAAATTATGGGCGAGCAAAATCTTGTTTCCATGACTTGTAATGTGTGATACTTGTGTCAGCCCTTCTTCTGCCTAGGTACTCCACTTTTTTTTTAATTTTGTACGATAGATGATAGATACATAGTTTAAAACTATCAATCTATTTTCGTAAGGGGAATTTTGTTGGTATTATAATCCATAATACTACTTTTAACAGAAAAATTGCTTATAATCTGTACATTTATGTATTATCTTTATACATATTACATTGTAAAAATAAAGTTTTCTTTAGACTTTCAAATTTTTCTTCCGAAGTTATAAATTTGTTAAAGAGACAGATCATAGATAGTAACAATATTGATGACACTGCATAATATATAATCATAGATTTTATTTAGTGTTGCTAAAAAATACATTAAGTAGAAAACATGAGGAAATCCATTTAAGTTTATAAGCTGCTTAATTGCAATGTCTTTTTATTAATTTATAAAATATTTTCTTGTTTTGATGTAACAATTATTTCAGGAATATTGTTAAATTTTTGCCTAGTCATACGCTAGCCCGTCCCTAGTTAACAAGGTAAGTATATTGTATGTCATAGTTGTATCTACCAAAATTCATAGTTGAATATTTAAGTCTATACTACCATTTACCTACAAATTATAAACAATACAAAACATTTTTCCTGTTTGAATTATTCAGTAACTAATTTATATTATATAAGCTTCTCGCTAGAAAAAAGATAATATGTTTTATTACTAAATAACAAACTAAAAAACAAATGCAAATTTGTTTCATAAAAGAAATGGTTACGTTTAATGAAGTTATGATGCTTACATAATCTCACCCACCTTTCTCACTTCTACTTTAAAATTTAAATACCTTTAAAACCACATTTCTTAACCATAAAAGCTTTCCATTCCATTTTGATTAAATATGCTAATCCTAGGGATTATAAATATATTACTATTAACAGGGGTTTAAAAATACATTGAATACAAAATAGGGTAATTATGGTTAAATTTTACATAGAAATAAAATATGTTATTTTGCTTTTTTAATACAAAATATATATTTATAAATGGACTTCTGATAAAAAACGTAAAATTGAGTTTTTTTATGAATACTTAGGATTATTTTTTATACATTGGTATCCTACGAGGTTTTAAACGTTTAAAAAACTTCTAGGGCCATAGAGGTTTTTGAATGGTAGGGGTTTCTACAAATACTTATATTTAGGATATTAGAATCTATTAAAAGTAATTTTCGGTATGGGTAAAGTGTACCCAAGTAATACAAGTATAGAAAATAGCATCTAATATAAACGGTGCCGTGATCATTTTTTTAGATTTTACTAAGCCCTCTCGATATTTATAAAACTTAAATTAAGAAATTGAATTTCACGTTTAAAACCTATGTAACTATCATCTTAAGACCTAAACTAATTGGTAATGTGATTTTCTTCTTATTTTATATATATATAAATAAACATATTATATATTGTACACTGTAATATGTTAACATTAAATTTATGTAAAAATAAAACTCAATATTTGTTTTAATAACATTAGGTTACAAATACTATTTTCCAGAAAATAGGATCATGAGTGCAGTTAGGCACGGTTTACAATTTATTGTTGATAGCTTTAAAATAATTTCTAACTTTGTGTATACTAATTATTTTTTGTTTATATTTAAAGTAAATTTTTGTATTTATTATGTATAGTTTATTAATAAGCATCATTTTAATAATATGTTCATCTGCGATTCTCATGGATAACGGTTAATCAATTTAACACTTATACACAATTTCTATAATTACATTATTTTTAAGATACAACTTTTGAATATATAAAATATTAGTAATCATTAAAAACGCCTATTTCGATTGAAAATATAAATTGGATAGGTATCATGATTTTGAAAAAAATGGACATAGCACTAGTGTTCTCTAAGGTATCGAAATGTACAATACTACTTTCATTACTCGATCGAGTAGTGACAATATCTTGTCAAATGAAATAAAATTATTTTTTATTCAGGAATCAGCTCCCAGTAGAGTAGAGATGATACTAATTTTTATTAATATTATTAAGTTGTAATAGTCGTAAGCTCTTTCATAAAATATAATTTTTATGAAATGTATGTTAAATATTATAAAATAATTCTACTTACACTTTTTTAAAAATAATTATGAAATTGTTTGTTATGTTATAACTTATACGTAAGCAAAAAGAGTAATGATAGAACCGTGTTTATATTAACACATAAATATGATTTTTGTCTATAAACAATTAGGACTAACAGAAGTGAAATATGGAAAAAGCCTTTTAATTTCTGATATCAGTTATTTACAAAATAAAGAGGTATCCAAACCCGTTCTCCCTTCTTTTATAATTTTTTTTTTATCGTATCCCTAATTATTATAGAATATTGCAATTAGCAAATTGAATAACAGTTTTGAATGAGGTAGTATGTTGTGAATGAGTCATTGAAGAAACAACAGTTAAGCAACGGACTTATAATAATATGAAGCCCTTTTCACAAACCCTTTGTTAATGTGCTATTTCTAGTATGTATACTCAGTAGTACTCTTTAGGCTAATGTTGGGTTTCGTTAATGTATCATGTCTTATTTTTGCACAGAAACAGCATAGAATTATTGATAAATAATAATTTTGTATTAGCTGGCCGCTGGGACGTTAAGTAAATAATCTTTATTCATTAATGTGTGTGATTTGATTTCCTTTACATAGGACGAGCTATTTTTGTAAATCCACTTAACTAATCGAATTAAATTTGAATGATAAATAATTAAAATTGTTCCCAATCGTCTCTATCTATAACTTTAGTCATAACAAAAAAAATTGCAAATACCTGTTAAAAGTTTGTTGTATTGTGAAAAATAGTATATTATAAGGGAACTATTTCAAAGACCACAATCTTAACAATTGTATATAAATTAAAAATATGTAAGTTCACAATTTAGTTTTTTTAAAAGAGAGCTCTAATTCTATTTCAAACATGTTCATTCTGTTATATTATTGTATAATTACCACGTTTAAAATGTATTACGTATATAAGGTTAAATACTAAAGAAAATGTTTTGTGGATGAAAAAGTAACATGTTAAATAATTATTTTTATGCATTTGTTGTTTTAAGAGGGCGTCACGTTAAATCCACTTTTTATTTGCGTGTAAATCATGTTTTAAGAGATGCACTTTTCTGAGGAACTGAACAGATTTAGTATAAAGTTACATGTATAGCATGTTTAATATCGCGACTTTATTTAAATTTTGACTTGAGCAATATTTAATAAAACAATTTTGGCCAAAGATCAAACATGAAACAACTTTACAAATGTTTTGAAACCCTGTTTCTAAATATAGTTTTTAAAATAAATCATCCATTTCCAAGTCTAAATAAAATCTTAATTGTATAAATGTAGAAAAATTAGGTTGACGTTATTAAGTCTAATACTTCAACATATTTAATACAATATGCGTTTAAAACATATTTATCATAGTGATACAACTTTGTATACCTTACTTATTTAAATCCCACAAAACATATACAGTGACAAAAAATGATTTTTCCAAAAAGAAAATTTAAGTATTATTTTATGAACTTGTCCTATAGTAGTTCTAATATTTAATATTTAATTTGGGTACAACGAAAAATAGGCGCCTAAGACCTCATTTGCCACAAGATAATCAGACGAGATTGAAAACTCCTTAAATGAAGGAGTAACAAATAACTCAAATTAAATTTTAAAAGACAAACATAATAATAATAATAAAAGAAATTGTCGTCTAATCATTACAAATTGTACTATCTTATAAGTTTTACTATATATTATAAAATCTGGCATATAAAATATTATCAAAATACTTTAAAAAAAATGAACAAGTGAAAATAGGGCCTTAGTTTTTTTATAATATGTCACAATTTACAACAAGCGATGAATAAATGTTTTTAATAGCTAATAAAAATATACTTTTAGAACTACAATTTTCTAAGTTTTTATAAATAACTAGAAGATTGCATTTGATTATTAAAAAAACATTCTTTTTATCTTTACTCGTTTTTGTAGAGAGTTTGGCGACATTTCATTTTATGACTATTGTTAAAGCCGTATGTAAGGGCATGACACTTAAATGTCTTATAAAAATGTCATTTCGATCGATTTTAATCGAAATAATAAAAAGAAAACACTAAAAGTTAAAAAATCAGCAAATGTTTAGGGGAGTTTAGTAAGCACTATAATATTATCCTAATCACTAAATCAGCCTCTTAATGATCACAAATACATTTTCAATATTATTGTTAACATTTGTGTGTCACATACTCACATATTTTAAGTATCTGATTGGACCCAATTGGTATACCTTATTATTATTAAAATAAAAAATAAAAATAAAGGTATCCAGTATTAAATCTTCAAACCGATTTCTCATGGAGTATATTATAAATTATTATGTATTATCTACTACAAAAAACGTTAAAAATTGCATATTTGTAGTTTTGTTTTTGTTCTGTTCATTGTAGTAATAGTTAATAAAATATTTTTTAAGAACAAGGAATTGACATTTTTCTACAATAAAGGGAAATAAATGAATATTCTTAATTCCCGTCCATTTCCAATTATCTCCGTTATAATGAAATGCTACTTTATATATTTATCATTCTACTTGTTAACTTAAATATAATATGTAATTGTTGAGCCGCCATATTGTATTAATCAAGGCTAAAAAAAGTGACATTTTTTTTGTTGAAAAACTAAATTTTTTCCCCGATTCAAAATTTAAGTCAAAGTTAAAAACATATTTTTTTTAGTTTTATAATGTTTTAAAAAAATAGTTCTATCGATAATTAAATACTATTATAAATAAAAGCCAACTGTTTGATTTTTAATTTTAAACAGCTGCATAAAACATTATTATCAAATGTACTCACTTAGGAGTTACATGGGTGATAAGAAGGCGATAACTCAGAAGAAAAGAAAAAAAGTTTAGATCCCCTCCTTAAAAGTCAGCCAATCAAAGTAGTTGTATCTACATTGTGGCTAAGTCTATTTTATGCCTCACTCAGAAAGATCATGTTTCATTCAGTAACTGGCCTAGTGTTAAGCATTACAAATAAAAGAGCAGTGTTGCTCATGAAAGTAAGAGTGAAGTGAGGTTATGTACTAAAGAAATAGCAGACTTGGCCCCAATGTAAATATCACTACTTTGATGGGCTGACTCTTTTGGGAAGCGGTCTAGAATTTGGCCTATTCACTATTAGGTTATTGTTGGGGTACGGTTTACTGGATCCAAGGTGGTTTTAAGCAACAACATCCGTTATGAAATTGATTCATGATGACATTTTGAAGAGAACATCATCTCCGTGTTTCAATGTATGCAGCTAAATATTTAATGTTCAAAAAACGCATATTTTACTTTTACAAACTAACACCTTTTTTTTAGTACATTTAAAAAACAAGACATAGCATTCACTCCAAAATGTCATTTTCTTTCAATTTTGTAATATATGTTTTTACTCTTTTAAAGCAGAGGTATATCGTCCTTTTTAAATGTATTTATTCTAAGGTAAAATAAAAATTATACTATATATTATTTGTCATAGAAACTTTAATGAGGCTAAATTCGTTTTTTTTTTAAATATTTAACTTAACAATACTTTTTTAATAACCAATGACTTCTATACAGAATTATCATGCATTTAATAATTAACTTCAATTAAAAATATCACAAATGTAATTTATGGAAACGTGTTCCGCAAACAGTTCCCAAGAGTAAGCATTAAAACAAAAATATATTAGGCATCTTAATTTAAACTAATGAGTTGTCATTGCATTTAATTGCTCTTATAGATCAGTAGATGGCATACAATTAAACATATCTAAGGGTATTTATTTAAAAAATCTATAAGCTACACTATTTTAGGTACACTAATAAAACTAAAATTATATTTTTGAATAATAACCATTTTGCCGATTTCAATTCATCATTTAAAAAACAAAAATTAACAGTTATAAGTTTGAGTATGTTTTATAAAATATACTTTGAAATTATTATTAGTATCTTATGAAAATAAGCAGTTGGTATTTTGATTAAGCTAATATTTATTTACAACATATTCTTTAGAAATTTAAAAGTTTGTAAATAGTTTTTGTTGAACAAACTATGCAGTATATTAGTTTGATAAAACTAAAGTAACTAAATAACAATAAAAAAGATGTGCTTACATTTTTACGATTTCTGGAAAAGAAATCGTGGGCTGGGTAAGATAATACAGTAATAAAACTCATGCATATGTGAAATGTATGGTTGTTAGGTCTTTTGTAGTTAGAGTAATTGAAAGCACTTCTATTATGTGAGTTTATTTGGTGATAAATTTACGACGATTTTGAATAATATATATTCCATCAAACCCATTCCAAAAGCAGAAGAAAAATGATAGAAAAACTAAACATCCTGAATTTCCTTAATATTTTTGTTTACTCAGCATTTAGCATATTGACCTTGCTGTGCATTATTTGAACCGTTTTCATTTTTTTTCTTGCTCTTAATCGTTTTGATCAATTTGTAAAATTCCGTTTAATTAGACACGGCTATTTAAAATTGTTTATAAAAGTATTTAATTGAATACCAAATACTAATTAGCTCACAAAACGGATGATAGTCAATAATAGACAATTAAGTATTATGCTAAGTAATGCTAGAGAACTCGGTATCGTGGAACAATCCAATTGTTAAATTACGACATCGGCCAAGAAAATCAAAAAATTACGACGGTTTAAATTTGTTGGCCTTTGTTATGTTATTTATTTTCGTTTGAGGTCTAACAGTTTTAACATTTTAAATTAAAACAAACTTCATAAAAAATACAATGCGCTTAAGTATTTATTTAAAAACAAATGTTTTAAAAATAGTTTGTATTTAATAAACAAATAATTTGATTTTATAATTTTTATTTCAGCCCGAGACCGCATAATAATGAAGATTCAGAACCATCAAATATGTCTCAATGGCATAATCCTTAACACCGTATTATTATTAAGTTATTGTGCCATTATTATAGAAACAACATTATGTCCTGCTTGTAAGTTAATATTATACCCCATAGTAGAATAGATATACAGTATATTGTAGTGTAATAAACAAAAATCGATTGTCGATTGTCCTTGACCCTTAAGAAATCGGTATCGGGGTTTGTTTCCCGCAATTTTTCCCTTCTAAACTTAAAGTATAATTATTTGTAAAGCGATCGATTTTGAAATCTTGCCTTCGCCTTTTTGGACGACGTTTTTCTGTTTTTGGAAAAGAAGATAACATCTAAGTATGAGCTAATAAGTGTGGTGCTGAAAAAAATGTAGACTTTTTATTTTAGTTTTGAATTATTATTTTTATTTCGTTTAATGTAAACAAATTCCACCTGTAGTTATAATTAAAAATATTGTTTGTTTTATGTTTTCTTTTGTATAATTTTATTTTTGTTGTCCTTTTGTGTTTTTGTGTATTTTTAAGTTAAATTATTATTGAATGGGGTTTGATGTTTATGTGTCGGTTAATCGTTTAACTTTGACAGGTTTAAAAATAGATTATAGTATTATAATATGAGTTATTTGTTTGTCTTTAACTTTTGAGACCTCATGCAAATGTAAGTACGACATTTTCGGTTTCTTTTACCAATGTATTGGCATTTCAGTCTTCTGTACTAGTCTCACCTAATTTTAAGGTAAAAATATATTATTTTGTGTGTATAAGAAATGTCTATTTAAAAGTGACGCGCTTACCTATGTATACATTAATTTATTTTATTTTAATGACGTTAAAATACTCTAGAAGATAGCTATTAAATTATAATCAGTCATTAATAGTAATAACTAATAATTAATAATAATAATTTATTGTTCCTGTAATACACCAATGTAGAAATATTTTGGATTTCATAATAACAATTTAATTATTACTATCTAGTACCTAACATAAAAGCGGGACTGAAAAATTCCTCTGCGTGCCGAAAAAAATAAGCATTTTATGTAGTTTGTTAAGGAAAATCAAATTATCTCTACACTCATGTTTATTTTTTTTTTATTAAGCCTTAATTAAATTAATTTAGAAAAATGTTCATAAAACAATAATGTATATTTCATTGTTTTATACTCCTAGTTAATTGTATGTAAGCTTTTCGGATTCCACAATTGTTTTATTGCGGATTATATAAATATATATATATATATATATATATGAGTTTCACCTAGTATTTAATTTTATTTAAAATTAAAAAAAAAATTTTAAAATGTTCTGTTCTTAAGGAAATACATTCTGTTATTTAAAGATAAATTATAAAATAAAATAATTTATCTTAGTATAAATTCTATTAGTTTTATCATAATTAAGGAATCAGAATAAATAAATATTTTTTTTATGGACATTTTTCTTCATTGATAAAATTGTTTTAGTAACTTCTAAAAATATAATTTAAATAATTTTTAAGCATTCTTTATGTAATACCTCTCCTCAAGGATTAAAAAATTATTGGTTTTTTGTTATGAAACAATGCAGTGTTTTTTTTATTACCTATAAATGTAATAATAATTGTATTATTTTTTGTATGATTATTTTATTCCTCTACCCTATAGAAAGTCTGATTAGATTTTAATTTAATTTTATGTTTATTATTTATTTATTTATTTATTCGTTTTTTATTTTCCATTGATGTTTCTATATGTATACCTAAATATATTTGTTCATACGTTAAAAAGAAATGATAAAAATTAAAAACTATTATTATACAATATAATAAAATAAAAATTACAAAATATCGGCGTAAATTATTTTTTTGGTTATTATTTTATTTCTTCAGATATCAACACAACAGGAACTATGTATGTAATCAAAGTTACAAAGTTTTAAAATGAGTTGACTGAAAATAATTAAATAAGTTAAAACAGCTGTCAAAAATTGTACACAAAAGAGTGTAGTTAATCTCATAATGATATTAACAAGTAAGTATGTTGGATAAATGATAATGTAATCGCAACTTATAAATCGGCATTAATCGTTGTCAGTAACGTGCAAGTACAAGTATTCAACCTCAATTGAAAATTGTTTAGCAACGTCTTTTATACTAGTCCATTTCTCTCAATATAATAAAATTAAAAAGCTATTAGACTTCCAAAGCTAAAATGGACTAGTTAGGTTTCTCATGATTAGTAAATAAACGCAACAGTTTTATATTTGAAAAAAATTAAAATCCAAGCATTATTTTCTTATTACCTATCTAAAGTTCAATTCTTACTATATTATTAAAATTTTAGACGTTATTTGTGTTCTAAAAAATTCTTTTGATTTTTACCATACTGTATATTTAGGTAACTAAACATTTAAAAATATATATTAACATTAGAAATTTAATTATAACAGTGTTAAAATGATAACCTATAATTAACTTATACCATCTAAAGGCAAACGATACGTTGCAATCAATACCCAATTCAATTTTAGGAAAATGATGATAAAATCCCAACGAGCCACACGAGTTGCCTCGTATGGAAATATGTTATTGACCTTTCAGAAAAAATATTAAAATTGTACAGCAGATTCTATTGAAATATTCGGTATGGCAAAAAAAAACAGATATTTTAGTTGGCGTTATCAATAGTAATAAATCATCGATTGTTATGAAAGTTACGAGTGGAACAAAACACATATTGAAATTACGAATAATTTGATATATTGACAGTCGACATAAATACAATAGGTTAATAAATCCGCTGTGGTTTGTCGGTATTATATAAAATATTATAATTTATAAGAACATCATCATCAAGCTTAACGGGCCTTTAAGGCCAAACGCTGCCATTGTGGGATGGTGGTTTCTAGATAGGTTCACTGTCCGGGACGGATCGTCAGTCTGTCGCTGGAGAGGGGGATGGCGGTTCCTTTCCACCGGAAGATTGCTCGCCTTACCCACTCGACCACTCCTCCTCCTCCTCAATTAATTAGAACTACAAAATATATTGTCACATTACCCATTTTACACTTTGAACATTTTATCTATACCCATTGCGGTATAAAATAAATAAACTCGGCATTATAAAAGAGAATAATGCTTTGGGGTATCTATTTCCTGATATGATTCAAGCTTTTGACAAAGCTTAGCCCATAAGTTCACTTATATAAACTTTACAAACAGATTGCATGTACACTGTCACTCATGAGGAAGTAACTAGTTGGAAATACAGAAAACAGGAGCACCATTATTTGATAGTATTATTATTTATTTATTAATATTTTGTTAATTATTAAATGGAATAACAAGGAAATTATACGTACAGACAACACATGGTTGGCAACTTGTAAGGACATGAAAGACGAAACGTTTAGTTTAAAATAAGCCAGTGCGGTCGAAAAGAGCATAGTTTTATTTTAATCACCTGAAATTACATAGTTTGTAATACACACATTATCTGTATATTGTCATAGCCTAAAGAGCACACTCCGTGGTTATTAGAAAACAATTTTTTTTTTAATCGATAGAATAATTTTAAATCCATTTTCACATTAATTAAATTTAAATTAGTTTTGTACTTTATTAAAACTCTGGTAGGTAAGATAATAAACATGATGATAAACATGATATGGTGCGATAATTTACATGATATCTGTAAATCCGTTGTAATGATACGTGACAAATAATTTAACAGGGAAATTTTTATTATTATTGTTTCCATAGTATAATATAATACATCAGTGTTATCTTGATTTACGACTTATATTAATTTTAGATCCACTGTCTCATTAATTCTTCTTAGATTTTATTTTAATTATTAGCTATAAATGTGTAAATATTAAAACAATCAGTTTCATTTTTTGTGAACTCATAACACAAGTCGAAAACTGACGTAATTTGTTGTTATTTATTTAATTATTTTTCAAATTATAGGCGGATAGGCTCACCGAAATACCGGGCAAATCCTGGTAGGCTTTTTTCTTGTAGGGTCTTTTTTTCGGTATGTTTACCGAGTTTATAGTATAATATATTGTTCGCTACACACCACATGCAAATATATGCAACCAATTATAATACCTACTAATAAATACAAATCTCAAATATTTACCCTAACTCAAAAATTATAAAGAGAAAGAAAAAATAACAGTAGCTATAGCCATCTATGAATTTGTATTATTATTTAATATATTATTCATGAAAATGTATGTTTATATTTATAAATACAGGATATACACCTCTTATTTTTAGGTGTTTTAATATTAATTATATTTTCTGAGGTACAAACAAAAATTAACGATTTAAATTTTAAAAAAAATGTATTTAATAATGATAATATAAAAATTACATATTATATAAGCTATAAAAAAGAAGGGGGGAGGGGTGGGGATCCCTTGACTCAGTCCCGTGTACTTACAATTAGTGGTGTGTGCATAGAATATTCTCAAAAGAATATTTTTGGTCACGAGAATATTCCCATGGAGATTATTACCGGAGAGAATATTCTGAAAATTGTGAAATTAAAATAATTTCGAAGTATATTGAATGAAATGCGATAATTTATTAATACTGCACGCCTGATGAAGTTTTGTAATTTGTACACTTGACAACACTGTAGGAGTGAAAGACACACATGGTGAATTGAAAACTAATAATTGAATACTGATAAGTTTGTTAACATTCTCTGTTTAAAATAAATTTATAGACCATAGGTTTTTAAAGGAAATTACCAAAAATTCTCCAAAAAGATTATAACGTGGCGGCCATTTACATCACTACTTACAAGTAGTTTTGGGTATTTTTTTATATATTTTTCCCTGGTAACAAAAATGTAGCCTATCCTTTTTGTTAAATTTAAATCTTCAAAAATTAATAAATTATTTATCTATCTATAGGGAGCCAGCCATGGCAGGACTTGAATTTTTGAAGTGTGACACACTCGTCAATCGATAATATACGATGAACGCTTTGCGCTGCTTCGCTGTAGACTTTCAATGGGAAACTACGCACAAGCGGAATTGTAAATTATTTAAGCTCACAACCTATTATTATTGTGACAGTACAGACACCGTATAGGATACACTCGACTAGGAATTAAAAACATAATTTAAAATGGAAGCAAATATGGGTCAAGGCTTATATTATAATCGAGCGGCAAGTTAATATTTAATAACTGTTATAACTTTTTTTTATATAATTGTTGATTAGTAGTAATAATAATAATGATACGATTATTTTAATCTACAATATTACGATTATACATAAGTATATTTATATTTTGAAGACTACAGAACTTTATTTTACTCTCCTAGAAAAAACCCTCAGTGACTTTGCGAAAAATAACCAACTGATAAAAATGACCTTTAAGTATAGTCACTCTGCTCGTCGGAAAACTAGGCCAATTTAATTTAACCACTAGCAAAACTCCCCAGAGAGCAGCACCAAGACACCATAGCGCTACTCTCTTCGCATTGACAATACATTGACCAGTTTTTATTAAAAAAACCCAATTTTCTTAACTGTTACACCTGTCATATAAAGTTACAAAATTGTGCCTTTTCATAACATAAAATAATGCATTTGTAACACGCCTATGTATCTTTTGGCATGCTATAAGGATGAAGAAAATTAAAACCCAATACCATTATCGAGTCAAAATATAGCTATCGCTCAATAGAAATTGCGTTAAACATTACATATTGTAGTAAACTAATTCTAAATCTATAGAACTGACAGTTATTTTAAAGCTTACTGAACAGCAACTGGTTGATTATTCCATCCGGCAGGTTTAACTGGCACTTTTATTAGCGTTGGTATAATATAACATCCTGCTATTTCAATAATAAAATATGTTAGTATTAAGTATTTACTGTTATTGATTTAACATCATCACGGTGCTGCGTGAGAAGTTCCTGGGCCGAATAATCTCGTTGCGAGGAGACCAACCTTACTGATCTTGTGACTTGACACCGTGTGATTATTTTCTCATGGGGGTACACTAAGTCAAAATTTTACCAGAACAAACCCGGGAATTTGTAGAATTTAAGGAAGAAATTCGACGAGTCCTCAACGAACTTAATAGGGAGATATTTGATCGGGTCATGGTGAATTTCATGGACCGAGAAATTAGGTGTACGTCTAGTAGGAGAGGGGTGGGTCACATAGCCGATATTGTTTTACATGTATAAACCTTAATATGCCCTAAAGAGAATGGTGTGTCTTAAATGATATTTTTCAAAAATAAAATTGATTAATAGCAACTTAAAATTCAACGTTCTTTATGGACCACCCTTTAGTAGTATTAGCAGCATACATATCGTCCATTAGAGACTTAGACGTTATTACTCATGGTACACTGTATACATATACATAATTTGGTCGACGTAAATTTTACATTTACGAGACATTCTTAGATAGCCACGTGACCAACTTAAATTCGAACTGCAGTTATAGAAGGGTTTTCCACTTGTCTAATGTATAGTTAGGCATTTTACTTTACCAAAACATATGGTTAAGAATACTAGGTACTTAGTGACATAGTGAGTTTACTATAATTATCTTATTATAAAAATAAAAGTTGATAGATATTGGATACCTTGTTTTATAAACCTAGTATTAAATTTAATATTGAAATTTCAAAAAAATGTCAATAGGCGAAGCCATTTTATTGTTAGGTATTATATTGAATGACATTTTGAGTGATGCAAGTTTCATATTATACGATGTTTTTTTAAAGATAATATATATAGTTTCACGATAGGCAATATAATTAAACAATTATTCAATCACTAATTATAAATAATAAAAAAAGAGTTATAAACTAATAAAAAGTAAAAAAATGCGAGAGAGATTCTTGAGAATTAGAAAAAAATTTTAATTTGACACCAACCGGAATGACAAAGAAAAGCTTACCTAAATATTTAAGAACTTAAAGGTGAGTTAACTAACATTTTTAAAAAGAAATTTAAAGTTTTTTAAAATCCAAATATACAAATTTGTATTTTGATAGCATTTTTAAATGAATTGGCTTGTTTTAATATAACAGGTATAATACACTGTAGATCGTATACATTACTAATGTATATAACATAAAACGTATCTTGTCAAATTCTTTCTTGGCAAGAACTTTAAAAAAATGTTTTGTCTGCTTAAATTATTGGCATGATAAGTTTTAGGTTAAGGTCATACAAATAAAACCGAAGATACGCAAAAGAAATACTCCATCAAACTAAGCGAAAAATGTGAATTTTCATGTTATGATGCTGGGAACATTGTATAGCGCATAATGGAACCTCCATTCACGTATTTGAGGTAATTAATTTTTTACCTAATTATTTTTTTGTACGGAGCATTGATATTCAGTATACCTCGGTTCGTAAGGTCCTCTACATTTAAACAGTATTATTATTTTTTTATGCTAGCTATATCATTATTATAATCAGGTTACCGCGTATCATAATACAATTAGTTATAAAAATATCATATCTTATATAGAATACATTTTTGGATACTCATATATTTGTCTTGGTAAAAGGTGGCTTATTAATTAAACAAGTTTATTTCTTGACACGTTGAATAAGTCTGAGGTAGTTAAAATTAGTTTTTTCTTGTAAAATGCTAGTTTTTTTTTAAATATAGCTATTACATTTAAATAGATTATATCTTTACATCAGTGATATTGTAATTTGTAATTAGCGATAACTTGAAAAAAAATATGGTTATACTTGTTACACTGTATATTGACAATGTTTTTCATAATTAGGTGTTACTTTATTTGGTACTTTTTTTTGATGTGGTATATAATATATGTATATCTTTAATTTTGAAATTATAATACCAGGCTTTTGCCTTTGGCTTAATATTTTTCTTGTCTAGTCATCAATGTTATTAAATTTGAATAAAACATCAATACTATATAAATTAATAGTTGAATTTGTAAATACATATTAGTATACTATATCAAATTGTCAGACTTACTAATATGTAAATTTTACAAATTTTAATAATTTTTAGTGAAAAATTCAACTTGCGCTGTTAGCCGCTGCATTGTTGAATGTTTACAAGCTATCCAGCCTTTTTTGGGTTTTTAGGCTTTCCTATAAAGTAATAAGTATATGTATTTTATTTATGCTTCATCAAAGTACTGAAATATTATAAATGTGATAGAGCTCCTCCTTCTTAAACTTTTAAACACAACTCTAAAGATTAGTTTGATCATTATCGTATCTATTCATGTTGTCATTAGTGAACTGACGTTTCGAACCGGTAGCAGGGTACATCTTCAGAGAAATAGTCACCGTTTCACTGTTACAAATATACATAGATATATAAAAGCCAATATTTTCGTCTATATATAGGTTATAATCGCAAAAATTGAATGGTAACAATTTCTCTGATAGACCTTGCAATGAGTTCAAGACGTCAGCTAACTTATGACAACATGGATAGATCCGAAAATGATCAAACTAATAGTTAAATCCATGAAAGTTTGAACAGAATTCTTAAGATTTTATTATTCAATAATTAAAAATTAATACCTATTGAGTAGTGTAGTTTATTGTAGTATTTAACTACCCAATTTTTAATATTGTCATTTATCCGTTTTAATATAGCCTGTTGATAGTATTTATTAATAAACTTAATTTAGGAAACATGTTTTTTTAAATATCACTTATTCCAGGAAAATAAATGGTACAACAGTTTGTTTTTCGTAAAATTATTTTTTATGTTAAAATAAACATAAATTATTCTCTTGTGGGAACAAAATGTGTCTAAAAGCTAAAATCCAAACAAAACTTGATCAACATGCCGAGGCTTTAAAAAAAATATTTCGAAAACAAAGCGTTATTTGAACAACTGATTCCAGGAATAAAATTTGATTGTCATGAATGGTACGTGCCCTTGGCCACGCTGCAACATCCTAGTTACGTTCGAAACCAGGTAAGGCCTAAATGTACGTTGAAATTGTTTTCCAAATCATATAAAAGACAATTCGTAAGCATTTATACTATAGATAAGGCCACATTTCAATTGCTTCCTAACTAATTCTAGGTTTTATCGTACATGAATAGGTATACACAAGTTGTGTCTTTTGGTGCACGTTTTATGGAATACCAATGCGTAACAAGTGGTTATGTAAACGTTATGGTTTTTTTTTTTTTAAACAATATCCAGGAATCAGAACTACTTTGTCGTTAATGTCGGTATAAAGTAGGGATAGAGATCAAACACCATGCTGCAAAGGGAACTACAGCACCTGTACTAGTTAATAGTACAGAACAGCAGTACTCGTCATGTTTATCAAAATATAATTCGTATACGCGTACTATATAATATATCGGCCAATTGAGTCGAAAAAAGCATAATCAATCAGAAAACTCATCGGCCAAAATGAGTTTTTAATAATAAATAATATGTAAGTAAATTAACCTATATGTTGTGTGAAAAAATGACACTACCTAGACAAAAATAAAAAAAATGGGAGAAAAAAGTTAAGACCTCCAATTGCACGAAAATGATAAGTTTTGGCTTCTCAGACCCAAATTACAGTTATACCATATCTACAAAAACTAATTATAATATTATCGATTACCCGGTTTAAAAACAAAATAATACAATTGATAATAAAAATTAGAAATTAAAAGTCATTTTTTGTCGTAGTATCTTCCAAGTTTTTGTATAAATTATATTTAATTCTTTTAATCCTTTATTACAATTGAAAGTGTACAACACAATTTCAGATTACATATTTTTTTTTTCGAATTTTTTTAACTGATTTTGAGTTAAGTCTCTGAATTGTTCTAGCATGTCTAGCTATTGTTTAAATTGTATAAAAAATTATTAAAAAAAGTTTTTCAGCTGAGTCTGCAACCACGAAAGAGCATTTTCATGTCTCGTTGAAGTACCGAATAAATTTAGATTAGTTGTGGAATTATAATTAAAAAAAAAAAAAAATTACATGGAGCTTCCAGTTACAGCATAAGCCAAGGAGATTAAAAAATTATGTACAATCAAGTTTCTGGCTATTGTAGTGTTTATTATCTGGCCAAAAGTAACTTTACATAGAGAATTAAACTATTTTGAATTTATTATTTAGTTCTAATTTGAACGTTGAACGTACAACATATCTCTTATATCTTATCTTCTATATCTTACCCCTATCCCCTACCCACTATCTCCCGTCCCAATCACTAACCCCTATCCCCCACCCCTACCACTTACCCCCTATCTCCCACCCTATCACTCATCCCTATTGCCCACCCCTATCTTCCACCCATATCGCCCAACCCCTATCATTCACCCCCTATCTCCCATCCCTATCACTCACCCCTATCTCTTATCTCATATCAGTGAATAATGATTTTTTCTTCTGAAAATAAGACAGGTTTGGTTCGATATCCGCTTTGTCAATAGTCTAGTAAGGTAAAATCTTAAAGCGGTACCTGGCGGCGGCCGGGTATCTTAACGTTCTGTTACCGGTTTCCTATCTCCGCGATGCTTCCATCACTGTTTGCACAGCCGCACTAGGTAGGGATTGACGACTTTGATAACAATAGCATGACCGTTTTCCACCAAAAACAGTAACTTCCCTTTCCCTCCAACGAGATAAGAGTCGCTTTGGCGCCAAGATCGTATCTTGCCCTATCCCGACAATTCCCTTTTCCGCCGAAAAAATGTTATAATTCAAATTAGTCGATGAGTTGCTAAATATGTCACATCAGTAAATCGCGGATTTAAATGAAAGGAATTAATTTTAAGTAAAAATAAATAAACAAAATTGATGACCTGGCTGTTTTATTTGTAATGATTATAGTTAAAGAAATTAGTGGGTATTATAGTATTAGCTTTTTAATAAAAAATTCTTTAGGAAGAAAAGTTATAATTAGGTATTAGGCGAAAAAAATTATTAAGTACAAAATTTCAATACATTTTTCTCAAGAATACAGATATTCGGTAACTGTAAATGGACATAAATTATTAACAATTAATTATTATTACTAACTATTGATTAAACACTTTTTCTGTACGAGCAAATTTACGGGCCTCGTACCTATGGGATACATAAGCGTATGGTGTAAAGAAATTATTTTCATCTTTAACGCGCCTCCTACTAGTAGAGCTTGTGTGGATGGGGTATTTTAGTTTTAAGTTACTCTCGCTGCGTTTAAATTTTTGATGTATACCATAATTGTATTATGTCACAGATTTTAACATATAAAACTATTTTAAAATGACAAAATGTGACTATACAATATGTAAAATATATTTTCACCATGAATGTAATTGTAGGTATTGTGTCGTAAGCTATTATACACGAATCGTGATGAATGCAACAATAATTCGGGAATATTATATAAATTACTTATAAGTTCTTATGATATAACCGATCTAAAACGAATGCAATCTTTAAGATAAACAGTTGCATTAAACAAGTGCAATAAAAATAAATAACTATAATTTTAGTACTGACGTTCCTCATTATCGGCATATGACCTACATATTATATTATAAAAGTAATCACTAATTATTTAAAAAATTATTAAAAATTGAATGGGGTATTATATTTACACACCTTGCGATTATTCCCATTTGATTATCTCGACTGGTTGGCCAACGTTTCGAAACACTTGCATGTTTCTGGTTTCATCTTCGGGGCTCTGATTACTAATTATTTTTTAATTATCTTCATATAGTAAGACATATCATGTCTTGTAATTTGACACACTACTTTAAATTATTATAGATATTAACAACTTTATTCAAAAATATTTGTAAAGTGGACTTCTTAATTTTGACGCAACATTAGATGCCAGCTAGACACAGTTTACTATTCGATAAACTTATATATAGCTTAACATTTAAGACAGTAATTAAATAACTTAAATTTTAAGAGAATAATTATAAAATAAACATTTTTGAAAACATTAAATTTCAAAAAAATCCAGCACAATGGGGATGGGGAGCCGCTTGATAACCTACCCTCGTTATCCACCCATCAACTCCTAGATTTTTTCGACGCAGATTCTTCCATTTATATAGCGATCAGCGTAAATAGTTGTTTCTATTTCTAAAAGCATAACCAAATCCAAGTTTAATTATAGTATAATACATGCCATATCAGATTTATATTAACTCATATTCGATAGGGTTAAAAAAATAACCCGTTTGTAAATTAATATAAGTAAACTTCTCTACCATTCCTTTAATGTTTCACTTAACATTAAATCAATAATAACTTCCTTGATCATACTCACAAAATATAAGTTAGGATACAATTTAATGTCATTCTACGTCTTGGCAAATTCTACCTGAAACATCTTACAGGAAACTTAATTAAATTATTAGTAACTTTGATTGGGTTTCTTACTTTTTCTCATTGACTTTAATCTCTTGTTGTATTAATTTAGCTGGAAGTAAAAAATATAACGAATGCTATTTAACATTAAGTATTTCAATTGAATTTCAAATTCTCCCTTGATTTCCTTAAACTCTGTAGTGTTTTATGAATACAATGTATAATAAAATATATATTTAAACATTTTTTTTTAATTTACCTTGCTTTACTATTTAGCTATTTAATTTAATACTACCAACCTATATTGTATCACTTGCGTCGTCTCTGTGTATATTTGTATCCACTTGAAATTATAATTTAATCCAAGCTCGTCAATTACAATACTTATAAACCAATCTACGCTACGTCCCGTTATACTAGAGTCTAGACCATAAAAAAAATGTTTATGATCTAGCAACAGAAGTATATATTTATTTAAGTATCGATTGAACTTTGCATTAGAACAATGCAAATTAAAAAAATGTATTAACTACCTACACACAAAATAATAATAAAACATCATATTCAAATAGAATAATAATAACAATATCCTAAATAAAAGTACATATATTACATTTTGAATTAATAAATACCACAAGTATAAATACCTCATATTACTATACACACAGGCAAAGCTTAGGATAATCCAACGGAAGTTTGAATATGATTAAAAAAAATTACGAAAAGAGAAAGTGGCATTTGACGTATTGTATTTTTATTAGGTAAGTATTAGTAATGTAGTAGGTGAAAGTAGTGGAGGGATGCAAAGAAACTAGATAGTGGTGCAATGTATCCCGATTAATAGCGGGGTAAAACGAGAAACCATGCTAGGCATAGCAGAAGAGCAGGTAGTTCAAGTCTGGTTTAATTTTAAAATATCATAAAAAAATGTTTCGTCGACAAAGCTAAACTATAGAAAACATATTAGTTAAGATAAAGTAAAGAAATTAGTATATAATTACAATGAACTCTATAATAGGTACAATTAAAAAGAAAGTGAAACAACAAATAGTTAATGGATTAATCAAGAAATTATGGTTAGTAAAATCTGTAATAACTGTTTAATTATGTTGAATTTAAGTACTTCATTTCAGTTCAATAATATAATAGGATGTAACTTGCATATATGTTTATATGTATAATCAAAGAAATTATGAAAAAAAAACTGTGGAAATATGGTTTTACTTAAATTTATTATTTTTTCCTAAATTATGAATTGGGATTTGAGGCATTTTAATCTACAAAATATTTTTACAAATTATAATTATAAATTTGTAAATAACTATGAATATAAGACTTACCGCAATAAACATCATTGTTAGCACAAATAAACATAAATAGTTCATTACATAATAGTGCATAAGTATACTTATTTATTCACTCAGTTTATAAAAATAATAACTAATGACTCATAAAAAATACATACGGTAGTTATTGTTATCAATGATTAATTTGTTTATGAAAATCAAGGGGCCCCTTTCCCGTCAACATATTATGCTATTGAGAGATTAAAACAAAGAAATAGCTAATTTTAGAGATTTTAGTTGCTAGTAGTACTAAGATTATAATGTACTTAACAAACTTACTAAATAATACAATTATTTGAAACTTTTCAATGGGATTAGTACATAATACTTTTTACCCGACTGCAGTAGTAAGAAGGTAATGTGTTTAGGTATAATGTACTTATTCTTGGTTTCCAACTACTCATTAAACTGCTAAACCGATTTTGGTAAAATAAAAACCAATATATAATCTGTCACAGGTATGTTCGTAGCTTAATTATCCTGGGATTAAGTACAGTTCAATCATAGTAATGGGAAACATGTACCTACGGCCATTAGACGGATTAAACGGTACAGCAGGACGAAAATTGCCAACAGGGAAAAATTATGTTTTACCACAATAGATCGTTGACAATTGACACTACTCACAGCCATAGTCCACTAGCTGATTCACAGACCAACAATAACGCATCTTAATCAAACTTTTTGTCGGTTTACGGTCACTCGGTGCCAGGCTATGCAGTACGATGAAAACGTTAGGCGGTGAACCAAAGGTACATAGGTACATAGGTATTTAGGTACACACATCCGTATCCCAGAATGACCGCAAATTACTTTAAAATAATTGTATGTATTTGTAGTTTTATTTTAATTTTGTTTTGCTGAATGGATTAGATGACGTTAAATGTGTTTTTATTATAACAAAAAAAACAAAAAACATAATATACAAATTTCTAAATGATTCTAATGTTGTCTAAACTTTCACATTAATTTTCATTATCTGTTCCTTTGTTGCGACTGTTAGTGTTTAGATATTTCTCCATCTATCTCCAAAAGCCCGAAAAGGCGATCCATTGTTACTTGCCGATCGGCTATGGTATTTTGTTTTTTTTTTAATTTTCCATTTAACCATCGTTTCGCCACATCATCCGTATTCTGTTGGGTACCTGCTTAGGATCACCCAAGTTTTTCTTGCCATGTCAAAACCTGAGAGCTTGTGATGGGGAAACGTGTCCCGAGAAAAGACAGTATATCGACCACCAAAAACGCACTTCGAAGGAGTCAGCTTTGACAAACAGGCTGTCAGCGAGTTAGGTTTGGTAGCCGTATTCACATCGATGAGTAAAACAAAATAGTGTAGGAATCGGCTCCTGTAGTGGCCTTGGTACCGTCTGCATCCCGAAAGTTCATGTCAAGTTACGCGTGAAGTGGACATCCAAACCTAACGTTTTCGGTCCAGATACGAGTTCCGTTAGCGACATTAAGAACAGTACCCGATGTTCGGTGCACGCTGAGCTCGACACCATAACAGAAATATCTGCATCCGAATCGATGACGAATCGCTGTCCTGTTTGGGTGTCTTCGACGAAAACGTGAAGTGAAAAACGTCCATCGCTTCTGCTAGTTTTCTGGTGATTATGTGCACGGTGTACGATAGCTGCGTGCGTGAGTTCGAAACGGTTGTGATAAAAACGCCATTGTTCGTTCCGAGAGCGTGATCGTGTGTACGGGAACACATGTGTGGGCCGGTTTTGTTCGACTGCACCGCCACTTCAGCCAATACGGCGATCTAGTCAGCTCAAAAATAGAAATATCGAACGACCAAGGTAGACAATATTATAATATGACATACTTGTAATTTTGCCGACAAACTAATATATATATATATATATACATGGGTCAAAACGCCAAATATGAACAAACATTTGGAGCGGACCCCCCCCCGGGTTTTAAAAATGATTATTAAAACTCTTAGGAAAAAAAAAAGAGGTAAAAATTCATAGAAAAGTAAAAAAAACGTCAACAATATTCAAAATAGTATAATTTTCCGTTTTTTCGACTTTTCTATGAATTTGGACATTTTTTTTTTGTTTTTCTAATCGTTTTTATAGAGATCCCGGTTTGAATTTTACACATTGTGTGTAAAATTTCCTCAACTTACTGAAAATTATATAAAAAAATTTCTCAAATTTTGGACAACACAAAAAAAAAAAACAACTTTTTAGATGATTAACTCAAATATAATGATTCGATTACGCGAAAAAAAATCAATATTTTTTCAGAAAGCTGAGATTGTTTTACATAAGAACCTGATTTTTAAATAATATTTTTTTTTATGGCCCAAGTTACTATAAAAAAGTTACAAAAAAGAAGTGTCCAGAAAAAAACTAAAAATACATTATACGACCATGACAAAAATATTTGAAAAAAAAATCCATAAAAATTTGAGTACAGTTTTCATCGTAACAGATATGCAGTGTAATTTTCAAAAAAATCCGCGTGAGTTCGCTCCTAACGTTCGTTCGTAAGCCGTAACTGAGAAAGTATGTTTTTACAATAAGGTATTTTTTTGAAAAAAGGCTAATTGATTCAACCTAATACTTAAAATAAAATTTAAACACATTATTATTATTGCCTTTACAATAGCTTTTATCAATATTTAGTATTTATACCAATTTTAGTTTTGAAGTTTAATCTAGCCTCTAGGGTATTTACTGTGGATACCGTACTGTGCATTTTTATTTTATTAAAATAAACTTATATAAACTTAAGACAGAAGTACTTCATTTTTTTAAAATTTAAATGTGAAAGCCAAACATATTGAATACAAATATTAAATCATGTACATTGTTCATCATACATAATGTCATCTTGTACATTATGAATCTACAAAATAATCAGTACTAGGGATTAAGTTAGGACCGAGACTTAAATGGAATTTAGATCCTTTTAAATTTAATATAACTCATACTCCGCTCTAAAGGATCGTCGGGATTATTGTTAGCTTAAAGGTAGGACAAGTATTTAACAAGTTTCCTGGTATAAGCACAAAGGAGTTCTAAAATTAATTAGTCTGGGAAATTTCAGAACGTCTGTTTTACCTTCTAGACTCTTAACAAAGCGGATATCGAACCAAACCCGTCGTACTTTCAAAATAAATAATCACTATTCACTAGACTGTAAGTAATTAAAAGGTAGAAACCTCTTTGTGTCTGACGAAAACACAAAACTGTTTTACCACTTGACTCTTGAGACTTTTACTTAATAAAATAATGTATGTGTATTATTTTATAGGCGCAAATTATTTATTTGATTATTGTTTAATAAAAAAATAACCTACAAAACCAAAGACTATTATTTGAATACAAAAAAATGTCAATAACAGATTTATTGAAACTAGACAAGATAAGCTTATTTGGGTAACATGCATAATAATACACGGGGACATGAAATTAGTTTTTTGTCATTACATTCATATAATATGAGGTTCTAAAATTGTAGTATTCATTTTTGGTCATGTCTACTTTAAAAAAGCTCATTACTTTTAATGTTTATTTTATGAATTATTCATTATTAAATCATGTAATGTCCGTTAGTTTAGGAGAATGAGCGATTTTTCTGTACATATACATTACTACTAGCAAGAAATCTATTCCAAAGGGGAAATCAGATTTTAACATAAGTAGTTATGTTCAGAACAATAAGCTGATCTAAGTATAACGAAGGCTAACGAGCATCGTAGGATTTTGTGTAGGGTTGTATCATGTCCTAGAACTTTTTGAAATTTTACAGATCATTTTTTGCGTGACATTGAATCAAGAAGATTGACTCAAGTGGAAGATTAGAAAGGATGAAAATGTATGGAGTGCATTGTAAAGGTAATTATAGGCAACTGTATAGTGAAAGTAACTATGGAGAGTTGGAGATCACCAAATATTTTAAATCAGGGAATGAGATAATCGACTTGAATAGTAAGTTAAAGAATTGCAATAACAGTAATTAGTAAAAAAGCGGACTAGTAATAGTAAAGTCTAAGTAATAATCACTTTACAAACTATAGTTTAAAAGTAACGTCTATTTCCTCAAGCTCCA